AATTATCAAGTTATAAACAAAATGCTAAAAGTAAGTTTAAGACAATTTTGAGAGCTGATATATTTTTAAATGTGGGTTTATTCTATTATACCTACCAGTCAATTCCCTAATTATGCCATTACATTATGTAGATAATTCTCCTGGGCTTTATACTGTATCCTACAATCACACTGAATTCATCTATCCTCCTAATTGGTAATACGATTTGACATATATGAAACAATGTCATCTGAGAATACAAACAACTTTATTCCTTTGCAATCTCAGTATCATTTTAAATGCTTTAATTGTTTTTATTCTCTTTCAGTAGTTGTACAAAAGGTTTCAATTCAACATGTCAGTCTGGAGTACAATGCGACCTCGATCAATGTCATCCTTCCCATCTTTCTCCTGATCTCTCCCAACACCACCAATACCTCAATTCAGCTGGTTCCATTTTCACATATGTATATGGGGATTCGCTCACCCTTCCTCCATGATCTCCCTATACCCCAGTAACACGTTCCAGGTTCCTAGTTTTCATTTTGTTAAACTGTAGGTGAATTGCACAAAGGGGGTTACACCATTGGAATCCTTCCCTGCATGTATACTTCAGCTAATGTGTTTGTATATATGTGCACATGATCCTGTATGTTTTCTAGTCCTCTGCTTAAATTATGAAGTAATATCTTGTACTGAGTCACTTTTCCAAGTTATCATGCCAAATTAAACCTACAACCTCATCTTAGAGCATTCTCAGTCCAGCCTAGGCAGCCAATAGACAGAAACAAAGAAAATTGCAATGTCTTAAAATAACTTCCCTGAGTTCAATCCCCAGAAAGAAAAATTAAAAAACAAAACACAAAATCCTACTAAGAAAACAACAGAGGGGGAAGGGGGGGGGGAGGAGAAGGATTGGGATTGGGGGAGAGGGGGGAGGCTGGGAAGGGATGTGACGGGTAAACAAAGGAGGAGGCTGCAATTCTTGGTAAGAAATGTATGCATTATCCAGCCCATGTAATTGTAACCCCTCTGTACAGTATGTTCACAAATAAAATTAAATTAAATTTAAAAAAAAGAAAACAACAGAGAATACCTTAAATCAATCCAATTTTGCCTAAAGTTATCCATTAGAAAAGTGTAAAAACTTCGTAAGATTTACTACAGAATAACCCGACACAACTGCATGTGCTATACAGTCAAAGCTACTCAGAAGTTGAGCTGGGTGACACAGTAAGTCCCTCCTCAAAACACGAAGATTTAAAAAAAAATTACAAGAAAGGTTTATTAAACTATGGTTAAAAATATGACAAAAAAGTGGCACTGTGGCTCAAGTGGTAGAGCGCTCGCCTTGAGCTGAAGAACACAGGGAGAGCACCCAATCCCAGAGTTCAAGCCTCACGACCGTCAAAAAAAAAAAAAAAAAATATGACAAAGAGGCCAGGAGTATAGCTCAATGGTATTATATAGAAAGGGGGAGGAAGTGGAGAGGGAGAAACAGACACATATAGGAAAGTAACAGTGTTGGAATACACATACATATACACACACACACACACACACACACACACACATATACAGGAAAAGCAAGGAGAGGGAGACAGACACACATAGGAAAGTAACAGTGTTGGGACACACACACACACACACACACACACATACAGGAAAAGCAAGGAGAGGGAGAGACAGACACACATAGGAAAGTAACAGTGTTGGGACACACACACACACACACACGCACGCACGCACGCACGCACGCACACGAAAAGCAATAATGCTGCTTCTCATAAGGCCAGTACAGGGATTTAAAAAAGGGCACCAGAGGCTCACACCTACAATCCTACTCAAAAGTCTGAGATCAGAGTATAGATTCAAAGCCAACCTAAACAGACAAATCCTGAGACTCTTATCTCCAACTAACCAGCAAAGAACCAAAAGCAGAAGCAAAGCTCAAGCAGTATACCAGTGGTGAGCAAAAAAATCCAAGTGAGAACATGAGGCATGCGCTCACATGCGGGCGACAGTGTGCACACACATACACATACACAAAAGGAGGGCGAAGGTATGCAAAAGGTTTATGTAAAACGGTGCTAGAAACAGTGCCACCCACATTATGTATTCCTCCTTTTAATGACAAAGATGGTTAGATAACTGAACTAGGTTTTCCTCTAAAGACAGTCTTTAAAATAATGCAATAGGTTGTCTATATAGTCCAAGTCTGAGCTCTTACTAGCTTATTATGTATTTACTCAGTATCTATTTTATGCCAAGTATTAAATTATACTTAGGCTTCCAAGTCAGTCTCTCTCCTCTCCTCCCCCTCCCTCTATCTACTCCCCTCTTTTCTCTTTGTTTGTGCCAGTCCTGGGCTGTTGAACTCAGGGGCTTTGGTGCTATCCCAGAGCTCTTTTTGCTTAAGGTTAGAGTTCTACCACTTGAACCACAGCTCTACTTACATTTTAGTTTTTAAAGTTCACTTTAGATAAGAATCTCATTGACTTCCCTGCCCCCCCCCCCAGCTTCAAAACACAATCCTCAAATCTCATACTCCTGACTGAGTATCTAGGATTACAGGAGTGAATCACTAGCATTTGGCTTCCAATTCTTTTTCTTTTAGGAACAGTTCACAAAGCCACACTACAGAACTGTACTATCGGGCTGGGAAGGTAGAGCGCTTGCCTTGCAAGTATGAGGCCCTGGGTTTAATTCCTCAGCACCACATAAGCAGAAAAAAAAGCCAGAAGTGGCGCTGTGGCTCAAGTGGTAGAGTGCTAGCTTTGAGCTGAAGAGCTGAGGGACAGCGCCCAGGCCGAGTTCAAGCCCCACAACCGACAAAAAAAAAAAAAAAAAAGAACTGTACTATCAAAACAAATGGTCTATATTAAAATTGTTAAGATTAATAGCAAATATGAAAGCATTTGACTTGAAAATATTCTACCCTTACAAAATTCTAAATCACAATTAGAATCCTATAAGCAAAAACATGAAAAACAGGTAAAGAATAAACTCCATTTCACTTTTACCTTCCAAATCTCATAAGTATATCTGTGACAGATAAAGTAGCATTAAGAACTCTAACTGAAAAACAAGATGAGATTTTTGCCTATTTTGAAGTTTCTAAATACCAGAGGGCAGTCTCGATGACATTGACCACTCTTGGTAATATAAAATGAAATTCTAATTTTCACACCAACAGACATACTACTACTGCAGAAGACAAAAGGCAACTAAAGTAACCAAGGGAATGCAGTTATTCAAACAGAAATGTTAGTATTTAAAGATATAGGGAGAAGCAGGTGGGAAAGTAGTAGGGCAAATAGGACTGAATCAATAAAATATAATGTAGAACAATATGACAAAGGGATTAAGAATCACCCTTTTATTTCTATATATTGGACTATAAGAATAATATTGTTCTACTTATCAACTATGTTTTTCTTTTTAGATTTTACCCCTATTCCAAGAACTAAAACAACAACATTAAAGACATTGGAGACAGGCACTTGGTGGCTCACACCTATAATCCTGCCTACCCAGGAGGCTAGATCTAAGGATCAGTTTTGAAGCCAGCTTAGGCTGGAAAAATCTATGAGACTCTTATCTCTAATTAACCACCAGAAAAACGAAAGTGGAGCTGTGGCTCAAAGTGGTAGAGCACTAGCCTTAAGCAAAAAGGCTCAGTGACAGTGTCCAGGCAGAGTTTAAGCCCCATTAACAGACATTAAAAAAGAAAAGTTAGAGGGCTGAGCATGTGGCTTAGTGGTAGACTGCTTGCCTAGCATGCATGAAGCCCTGGGTTCAATTCCTTAGTACCACATAAACAGAAATAGCCAGAAGTGGTAGAGTGCTAGCCTTGAGCAAAAGATGTGCAGGGACAGTGTCCAGGCCCTAAGTTCAAGCCCCAAGACTGCCCCCTACCCCCCCCCAAATAAGGTTGGAATGGAAAAATGTAACAATCACACATTTCTAAACGGATGTCAAAATGAACATGTCATTGATAAAGCATCCTATTAATAGGCTACTATCAATGGTACAGGTAACAAGAGCACTAACCTAAGACTTTTTTTGTTAACTCTTATTGTAATATTATCACAATTAATTCTTAAAATCCAGTCTTTTCAATATTAAAGGAATATTAAAGGAATAATCACTCCTACCTCTACCCTCAGGATTTAAAAAACTAGCAAAAACCTCCTGATTACACTTTTTAAGTGATTCTATTTGTACAGACTTTAAAGATAACATATTTAATACTTGTGTGTATCTATTTCTCTTCTTGAATATATGAAAATCTGTACTTTCCATCTCAACAGACATTTCTAGCCCATAAAGTATGAGCATAAGTCACTTCTAAACCAAGACCAATAATATGGCCTTCAGGTCCTCGCAGGCCTGGATCCCTGAGTTACCAAACAGAAATAAAGCTACTACAAATCCACTTTGTAATTCTGTTAACATGAAAATCTACAAGATGAAACTACTGAGATTTGGTGGTCTATCCGTAGGTACATCATAGTGAAAACATTTATAATGTTTATTTAAAAATTACTAGCTTGGCACCAGTAGCTCAAGCCTATAATCCTAGTTATTCAGACAGATAAGATCTGATGACCACAGTTCAAAGCCAGCCTGGTACAGCAAAGTTCATGAGACACTTGTCTCCAATTAACCACCAAAAGCTGGAAATGGAACTGTGGCTCAAAAGTGATAAAGTGTTAGCCTTGAGCAAGAAACTCAAGGACAGCACCCACACCTTGAATTCAAACCCTCTGGACAAACAGCCAAAAATTAAAATTAAAAAGGAAAATAAAATTAACTTAAGCTCAATTTATTAAAGTTTTAACTTATTAACCTAATGATTGTTGATTAAATTCATTATTCATTCATCATCATTTAAATGGTTAAGGGTTTAACTATGCTATATAGATAAGTAAACATATATAATAAATGTATGCTTATACCATTCAGAGATATTCATTTTAAGTAAAATAAACTCCTAAAATCAAGAATATTCAACTTACAGTGTGAGCACATTTCCAAAGGATAACTTGCCTCATTTCCCTGTAAGGTAAAAAGAAAAAAATTGGTTACCAGATTGGCTTAAATTTCTTCAAAATATTAAACAAATATTTTATATAACAAAACAAAACGAGCCACAAACCAGAATGATTTTAGCCTTATAAATTGCACTTATATATATTTTTTTTGTTCCGGTCGTGGGGCCTGAACTCTGGGCCTGGGTGCTGTCCCTCAGCTCTTCAGCTCAAGGCTAGTGCTCTCCCACTTGAGCCACAGCACCACTTCGGCTTTTTTCTTTTTGCTTATGTGGTGCTGAGGAATCGAACCCAGGGCCTCATGCCTGCAAGGCAAGCGCCCTACCACTGAGCCACCTTCCCAGCCCTGCACTTATATTTGTTTCACTGGGTGAAAACACATTGTACAGCATGAGAAAAAGAGCTTTTGACTCAAACTGCCTTAACATGAGGATCTGCTACTTAGAGCTTAAGCAAACGTGTTTCAAATTATTAGTCTAAACATGCTATATATCATATCCTCACTGAGACTATCAAACTTATTGTGTGAGCTCATTTTGAAGAATAGCTCAAAGCCTCTTCTGCCACCTCTACTTAAGTTTCCTGAGAATGCAAAATAAACTGTTAAAAAGAAAAAACTTGTTACCATTTATACCTGCATGTAAACTGAATTTTCCACATGCTGTATTAAACCAAGTCCAATGTAAGTCACTTTATAACTATTTCTTTTCAAGCCGGGCACCAGTGGCTCACATCCATAGTCCTGGCTATTCAGGAGGCTGAGGTATGAGGAATGTAGTTCCAAGCAGTCCACTAAACTTATCTCCAATTAGCAACCAAAAACAAAGCCGGAAGTGGAACTATAGCTCAAGTGGTAGAGCGCTAGCCTTGAGCAAAAAAGCTCAGAAACAGTACCCAGGACCAAAACACACACTCAAATTTGTAATCACATAGCACATCTAAACTCCATCCAATTGTTTCCTACATTAGGATATTATGTGAAATATCTGAGACAAATGTTTTTTAGGAAAACTACAGCTCAAGACCAGTATCTGTATTTCATAGTTTTTAAGTACTGAGCCCAAGGTAGTTTAAAAAAAAAAAACAAAAAACAAAGGTAAAGGATCACACCATTTATTTAACAGTGGAACCAAGTGGATTGGCAGTTCTAAATTTCAGTGAAAATTCCAAGTATAACAGAGAATCATAAACATCACTAAAATGGTCCCTGGATCTTAAGGTATATTGAAAGTTCGGTGGTAAATTGAGAACCAAGTATTCTACATTGCATTGTCTAATCTGAACCCTGCCTAACAAACTATTAAGCATACAGTAGGTTCAACAATGAAATATTTGTTTATATTTGTATATTGTCGTAAGAAGCTAATGAAATCAATCCGAAGATATTGATGGTATGGCTGGTTTTCTTTTTAAGCATTTCAATCAATAGCTGAGTGTGATGTTGCATGCCTATCATCTCAGCTACTCCAAAGAAGATCAAAACAACAAAAAAGTTTGCAACAGCCCATCTCAACAACAACAAAAATAGCTATCATCTCAGTTACAGTAAGAAGTCCAAAGAGGATAATCACAGACCAAGCCAGCCTGGGCAAAAAGCAAGACCCTGTCTCAAAAATTACCTGAGCAAAAAAGAATGGGGGGGGGGAAGATTGGGGGGGGATGCCTCTCAAGTGGTAGAGCAAGCAAATTCCCTGAATTCAAACCCCAGTACAGCTAGGACAGAAAAAATAATTACAGATAGGCTAAAACTAAAAGGACAGAAAAAACAGCTTACAAACACTAATCAAAAGAAAAATATTATGATTATATTGAACTATGAAAAAGTCATTATCAAGGAATACTACCAGAAATAAAGAACACTGTTACATAATGTTTAAAAGATGGAGTTCAAAAATATACAAACTACAAATTCCTGCAGAAAAGCAGAACGAATATAGAGCTACAGAGCTCACTTGATGAGGCCAGCATTGTCTTAATAGCAAAATCAGACAATGACATTACGAAAGAGAAAACTATATTTTAATCTCTTTTCATTACCATGCATGTGAAAATCTTTGCACATGAATCCAGGAAATTTTCAAAATTATATAAATGTCATAACAAATTGATAATTACTACAGCAATGCAAGGTGGTTTATTTAACATCCAAAACTAGGATGATTCCCAACAATAATAAGTAAAAAAGCAGTCATCTCAACACATGCAATAAAAGCATTAGACTAATTCCAAACTAATTCATAATAGAATACTCATCAAATTAAGGCTTTTCTTCAGTCTCTAAAAGGGTATCTAAAACTTCTTCAAATAAGATGTATATTCAGAAACAAGGATACCTATACCAGTACAATAACGCAAGAAAAAATAAACAATCAAAGAATAAGATAAACTGCCTTTATCTGCAGATAATATAATTATATGTGTTCATAAGTTCTAAGCAAAAGGCTGTCAGAATAAATGATTAAGAGAGATGGCAGGATAAAGCATATATACAAAAATCAGATGTACTCTCACATTCTGGGTATTACAAAATGAAATTAAGAAAACACTTCCTCCTATAAAATCATCAAAAATACAAAATATTTAGAAATAAAGTCAAACTGTGTGCAGAATGGACATAGTTCAGAAATATAAAACATGATCTTTAAGAGAGAGAGAACAATGCTGCTGGGCATTGGTGGCTCATGTCTTTAATCCTAGCTACTCAGGAGGCTGCAATCCCAGGACCACAGTTCAAAGTCAACCTGCATGGGAAAGTCTCTCAGTCTTTATTCAAATTGACCAGCAAAAAACCAGGAGTGGAGGTATTGCTCAAGTGGTAGAGCACCAGCCATGAATGGAAAAAAACCACTAAAAACATCAGAATATTTATAGGAATCTAAAATTAACATGAAAATACAAAGGACCTATACTGTTAAATAAAGAAAAATAACAATGGAGACAGACTCTAAGCATCTGACAAAATTATAAAGTTCTGGTCATCCATATCAACTAGACACAAACTAAGGGAGCACAAGATTTTCAAGACAGGTGCCCAAGACATGCAGTGAGGAAACGTTTTTGCAATGAATGGTATCAGAATAAGGGGATTATCTGTATGTGAAAAAGAAAGAAGTTAAAGAGAAAGCCATTTCACAAAAGGTATGGAAACAGCAAGTGAACATGTGAAAACATGTTTAACACTGGACACTAGAGAAAGACAAATTAAAACCACAATGACATACTACTATATATGCAACTAGTATAATACAACTAAAATTTACAAAACTGACATACCAAGCATTACCAAGATGTATTTTTTTAAATGGACATGTGGTGGCAGAATTTTTAAATGGCCTTTCAAAATTCCATTCATGATTGCATTCATTTTCTTCCACTTATTAATATACTCATGGTAAGTATCACTGGAAAAATACTTTATACATAGAAAATTTCCCCAATCAGTTGACTTTAGGACACGATCAATCATCCATGTGGGCCAGATCTATTTGTAAAGTACTCTAAAATCAGAGTTTTCTCTGAGTTGTCTAAGAAGAATTCAAGATTCAAAGAATGAGCGGAATTTAACACAGGGGAGATGGAGAGGCTGGTTGGTATTGAATGTAGGCAGCTTAAAGAGTTTAGCAAGCAAGGACCTGACTTCTGAAACAACTGGGACTGGGACACACACTCTCAGAACTTCCAAAGCAGACCAGTCAGGTAGCACCTAGACTTTAGCCTTGTAATACCCTGAAGAGAACCTAGTTGTGCCATAGTGAACTTCTGATCCATGTAACTATGGAAAAGATGCTGTCTTAAGTAGCTAAGAATGGTTTTAAATCACTAAGTATTTGCTACATAGCAACAGGAAGCTAATATCCAGAAATACAGTATATGTGGCTAAAAGAAAAATATGTCATGGCAAATAGTAAAGATATGGATCAAGTGGATCTTTATACACTGCTAGTAAGAACTAAAATTTTACTCTTACTTTAGAAAACCAATGGGTAGATTTTTCATTTATCAAATGAATTTTTGATGGACTTAATGATCAAAACAAATTTACAAAAGTGTTCACAAATATCCACATAAGCTTTATTCTTGTTAATCCAACCTGGAAACGACCTTAATAGATCAGATCAATGGATAAACAAACTTTGTGGAACAAAAACAATACAAGTACTATTCAGTACTGCATCAGTAAAGACTGCTGATGCCTATAACTTAAATCTAGAAAGCAATATGCTAAGTGAGACGTGAGACAGCAAAACACATGCTGCATGATTCAATCTGTAATGTTAGAAAAGACGTACTATAGTGTTTAAAACTTCAGAGGATGCTGTGGGGGCGGGGGTGAATGCAAACCTTTAGGGTGACAAGACAGACATATTCTACATCCCATCTGTTGTAGTGCTTCCAAAATTATAGATCTAAAGGTGATATTTGTCATGATACATTGTATTCACAAAATGGTATGCTGCATTGTAACATTTTTATAGTAACTATGTAAAGGTAATATATACTATTTTAAAACTACACATACATCAAAACATTTAAACAGCACACTTAAAACTGGTTAAGGTTATTGTATATACCTCAACAAAACTGATTTTTGAAAGCCAATTACCTCAGTCCCAAGTATAATGGAAGTGCTTCACAAAATTAAGTCTCTAGTTAAACAATCTCATTATTTTGGTTATTATCTAAAATAATTTTAGATAATAACCAAAATAATTTCCTATGAATCTATTCAAAATTCAAAAACTATAGTTTTGTCTTTATAATGCACATGCGAATTTGAATACAGCAAATAACATTTTCCTGATGAAACCCAAAATTTTAAAGCAAATTGGACATTCACAATTTTTTCATCCCTTCATTACCTTCCCAGACCTTAAGCGCCACCTTAGCACTTGTCTTATTAGGTTATGATATGCTTTGTTGGATTTAAGAATGTCCTATATTTGAGGTTTTAGAAGATGGTTTAAAAAAATGGTACCTAGCATTTTAAGTAATTTGTAAAGAAATTAA